AAATTTTACTGTGAGATTGCTGCCTCCCTTTTGGCTCTAGCTGGTGCCTTAATCCCAGGTTGACCTCAGCTCTAGTAAAAGTCAGAGCACTGCCTGTCCCAGATAGTGGGGGGGGCGGTGGTGGAGAGTCGCAAAGGGATTATCCCAGCAGCATGGGAAGGCTGGCCATGGGGTTGTGCCCAGGGGTCTGGGGGTGTACCTCCTACAGCATGGTGTGCTGACAGCCACTCTGACGGGGCCTCTCCTTTGGCAGACTTACAGAGCAGAGTTTCCAGGGCTGAGGATGGTGGTCCTGCACCCCTGGTGTCTCTGCCTGTTCTCTGGGTGTCTCTCCCTTCAGGCAGTCACAATGCTCCCCATGGTCAAGGCAAGGACAGGTGGTGTGGAAGCTGGTTGACCACCTCAGTTTTATTATTACTTTTTCCAGTATAAGAAACCATGAGATAGGGGGAGATTTTCTTAGTGCCAGATAGGGTGGGAAGGGGGGCCTTGTGGATATGGGGGTCCCATTCTCCTACTGCCTGCTTAGAATTATCCCACTTCTCTGTGGCCCTGGGAAGTGTCTCATTCTTATATTTGAGCTGGGTGGTTGCTAGTGTATATCTTGGCACTATATATCTGGTTTTCTTTTTCTGCAGGGGAGGAGTGAAGCCAGCTTGCCCCTACACCACCATTTCAGAACTAGAAGTCTATTTGTTTTGATATTGATACAATTGTGATTTTTAGTTCCAAGCCTTGGGAAATGTGTTAGGAGCATAAGGAACACTCAATATATATATATACACACACACATATATATATACAAGAATAAATGAATAAATAAAGGAGGGAGAAGGAAAAGGGGAAAAAAGAAACAAAAACACAACAACATCAGATTACCAATTTTTTCTTACTGTAGGAGTCTCGCCTTGGCTTTTGATCACCATTCAACATACTTAGATGACAGGCTGTATAGTGGGTCTTTAAGTCAGGGTTCGTGAACATAACAAACACATTTATTGAAAATGACAGATCATACTAGAACAAAACCATTTGTGATACCTGGTGCATTGCCGGCACTCAGTAAATCTTTGTTGAAGTAAAAAAAAAATGAATTAGCAATAGACTGTAAAGGATGAGTGGAGGTGAGGACATCAATACCACATCCTCCTCTGTGAGGGTGGATCTGAGAAAAATTCTCTGCTAGTAGCGGAATAGTGTCTAGTCCCACGTGTAGCCTCCTCTGGGCAGCTCTCATAGTCTTCTCTCGTGCATAGTTCGGTCTTTGTGGCTTGTCTGCCTCTTGCTTTAGGCTCATTCTCACTGAGCACAGAGACTTGGCATCGCCAGTCTTTATTTCGGTAAGTGCAGAAGGCAGTGTAAAATACTGCAGGTCTGTCTCTTTAACCTGAAGGCTTGGTTTCTGTCTCTCTCCGCTTGGTATTTTCCCTCCAGGATTCGTTCTTTTACTTTCTCTTCTATAGGCTACAGTGGTGAGAAGGGGAGCTGAGAAAATGAACTGAAAACGGTGCCCAGTGAGCAGGTTTAGGGACTGCGTGCTATTCTTAAACTTTCTCTGATACATGTAATCACTTATTTTCACACAAAATTATGTGGAATAGACTTTGACTCATTTTTGAACAGCTTGCACAGCTTCACTCTTTGAATCAAGAATGAGTGGGTATGCCTTTTATAAAGTTGGTAGCTTTAGGACTTCTTGCTTTCCATGACACCGATTAATATCCAAATGCCAGCGCTGAAATGTCTACCTCCCTCTGCCCTCTGTATGTCTGTAATTAAGCTCCAGACCACCGGTGTCAGCACCGAAGCATACCTAATTATACAGAAGGCATTTGATGCTCACAGAAAAGCATCTTTGGCTCCAATTTCTCAGAAGGACAGGATGCAAACAGGCAATTAGAATTAGAGATAACCTTCAGAAAATGGTAAATAGAGTTCTGCTGTAGATTAAGGAGGTAAATCAAAGGATTTGTTTACTTTCTGCTCAGCTGTGACCTTCTGTCCTTCATTACTGCCCACTCAGTTTCAAGTCTGCATTGTATACGAATTGCTTCCATTGAGGTTTTCTATTCAAATTTTCATTATATGATATTTTCCAAATTGCAAAGTTAACAAAAGATACAGAAATCTGCAACAGAAGTAAAAGGAAGCCTTGTGGTGATTTGGCAACAGCTTTTAAAACATGAGCCATTTTCTAGAAGTAACACTTTCTGTCTATTAAACCTTATTTATGAACATTTATTGCATGTCTGTACCTTAAGAAAGGTAAGTGAAAAACAGGAAATGTCTCCCTGGATATCGGTTTTTAGAGATAAATGAATCAGTTGCTCCCCGAAGTAGACATCATAAAAATGCATCAAATATTCCCACTGTGAAATGTTCCTCACATCCTGCAGTCATAATTAATCACTCCCTTTTCCTTTCTCCCATAGACATTTATGCATAACTTTATTATATCAGTGTATTATATTTGTTTACAAACCTGCTTCTTCCACTGGATTGTGAGCTATTAACTTTGTAAAAGATTTTTTAGCAAACAAATTTTGGGGCTCCATCATCATGAAGAGATGCTGAGGAGATTAAAATCTTGAGTTTTGGAGTCAAATAATCCTGAAATTGAATATTAACTTTACCAATGCCGCGTTGTGTGACTTTGGGCAATTCGTATAACCTTTCTAAGCCTCATTTCATTCATCTCTACGTGATGATACTGTTACCTAATCTATCGTGTTAATTAAAGGAGATCACCCACATAAAGCATAAACATTCAAAAATTATTCACCATGGTTGTTTTTATTAAAGTACAGTTGACTCTTGAACAATTTGGGGGTTGGGGCACTGACCTTCCCTCTTGCATAGTCAGAAATCAGAAAATCGACATATAACTTTTGAATCCCCCAAAACTTAATTACTAATAATAGCCTACTGTTCACCAAAAGCTTTACCGATAACAGAAATAGTTGATGAACACGTATTCTGTATGTTATATGTGGTATATATTATATTCTTACAGTAAAGTAAGCTAGAGAAAAGAAAATGTTATAAAGAAAATCATAAGGAAGAGAAAATATATTTACTATTCATTAAGTGAAAGTGGATCGTCATAAAGATCATCTTTGTCATCTTCGTGTTGAGTAGGCTGAGGAGGAGGAAGACCATCCATCCCTCTTCTTCCTCCTCCTCCTCAGCCTACTCAACACGAAGATGACAAAGATGATCTTTATGACGATCCACTTTCACTTAATGAATAGTAAGAAAATCTGTGTAGAGAGGGACCCATGACATTCAAACCTGGATTGTTCAAGGGTCAACTGTACATTAAATTCCTATGAAAAGATTTCTTTTTCTGGCAGAGACAGGTATCCTGTCCTACTCTAATTTATCCTAGTATTTACTTTAAGATATTACTACACAGCTTCTGCTATGCTTGAGGAATTTTGTTTGGTTCTAAGGACTTTATAATAATCTAGCTTTAAGAAATGTGTCTCATTTTTATATTTCTGGAAAAATGAAATCTAGCCTCACCCTTAGTTTTGGGTTTTTTTTTTCCTAATTTCAAAACTTATTACTAAGGCTATTTTGTTTTGTTTTGTTTTGTTTTCAGAATATTATGGGGGTACAAATGCTTAGGTTACGTATATTGCCTTTGCCCCACCTGAGTCAGAGCTTCAAGTGTGTCCATCCCCCAGATGGTACACACCACACCGGGTAGGTGTGAATACATCGATCTCCTCCTGCCCACTCCCATCTGCCCAACACACAATGAATGTTACTACCATTTAATGCGGGGAAAAAAAAAATTCTGTCTTAAGTCTTCATTTATTTATTTTTCTTTCTACCAATGCATGTAAACAAGACATTGCACCTTAACCACTTCTCCCAAACCTTACATCACTCAGTCCAAATAGCCTTAGGGAAATTAAACTACTTTTTCAGACCCAAGAGTTGCAAAACTCCTAGAAGGACTTTATTCAGCTCTGCTTGGCACAACAGAATTTCCCCCACCCTCACCCCACTCACCCAGCTGCCCAAAGTAGAGTCTTGCTGATGAGCTTACCCTAAGTGCTGAGAAGCCTTTCAGAGAATTTTCTTCCTCCCCTAGGCCCTAACTACTTTCCTAATGTGGACGAGCTTTGCTTCAGCCAGTTAACTAAATGCATTCTCTCATATGGTGCATGCTACTGGCTGGAACCGAGGTGAACCTCAAGATTTAGGTTGCTATGGAGTTCTCCTGACACTGCGCTAGGCAATATCTAGAGATGACTCACCAAATGCAATGTACCAAGTCAGCTATTTAATAATTTTTTTTACCAGATGTGTAAAAGTAATTACTAAAAGATAAAAGATTAAGAGTTTCCAGATGTTACACTGGATTAATATAATCCACCAGTGGTTTTATTAAAATGAATTGCTTCACTCTCTTCAATTCAAATTTGAAATTAAAATTTCTATTTGGTCGCTGTATTTGAATTTTCTCCATCAAGCTCCCACCCAATTTTTCAATATAAGAGTTCAGATGTTGAGTTCTATATTAATCAAATTTGTGGAAAATATACATATGTATTCCATTTTATTCAGAAGGGAATAAACATAGTACATAATATTAGTTCAGGGAAACGTTACTACAACCAGATTAATTTAGATAGATGTTAACACACGCAGATGCTCAGCTGTCATTGTATGTTTACATGCATACACACAAACACATAGACACATGCGGACAGAGAAACATTTGGTTCTCCATATATTACTCACACCATATAGCTTCCCTCAAAAATGTACCTATTAGGCAAAGCTTCACAAATTATAAACTATGTAGAAGAACCTAGAGGGAAAATGTTCAATTGTCTTTTTTCTCCCTGACCTCTGTTTCCTGTTCTATTTCTCCTAATATCTTCTCCATCTCTGGCCTTTCCACTAAATGCACCCTATCCCTAATTATAGGTTTAATAAATGTATTTGTATAATTTTTCTTTTATTTTTCTCTGTCTGCCAAGCAGAGGACAAAGCATCCAGAGACTTGATAATGATTGAAGGATAAGAAAGATGAGAAATATCAGGACATTAGCATCATTAAAATTATACTTGGCAGGGAATAAACTGCAGAGCTGATGTAGATTTAAACCTGGATGTATCCTTCAAAGATGTTCTAACACTTACCCCACTGCCCTACAATTAATAGCTAATTGAAAATTGGCTGCTTCAAACTTCCAACTTCCCAATATTTTAAAACTTATGAGCATAGTTATATAAGTTTATATAAGATGAATTTATGTTAAGAATTGAAGCCATGTGCATGTGTGTTGTATACCTATGTTTAATTTAGGAATAATATTATTGTTTGGGAGTATTAGAAATTTTTAGTTACCATTGCTATATTAATTTGGTTTGCTAGGGCATATAGAACCTTTGTTTTATTTTTTTAATATTCATAATATAAGAAAGGGAGGTTTGATATCAAACTTTCAGTAACATAGTATGTCTTCTACATATATGTTGAATGATACAAGATATATGATTTTATAACAAAATTTCTTACTGACAACATAACTCTATGACAGAAATTGTACTTCTTATCCTTCCATTCATCAGAAAATCCCATTCTTCCAAATAAATTGGGAAAGTTGCCTCTCTGGTGTACATTTGAGGAATAGTCATTGTCTATGGCCCTAAAATACCCATTTTAGAATTCTGTAAGTGCTCAAAAAAGATGTTGTCTAAGATACAACCTGTGCTTATATCTGTAACTCTAATAAGCACCATTCTGATTAGTTGAAACTTTTCTTTGAGAATAGCTTACCATTTATGAATTTCTTTGGAAAATATTTTAAAAGTTGTCAAAAATTGATAGTAAAATTTAGCATTGTTCTTAAATTCACCAAAATGCCCCTTTTTTTGCAAAAACAAAAAAGTAAATTATACAGCATGATCAGTTTTACTACTTGAGCATGTCTGTACATTAATGTTACAGCTTCTTTAGAGGCATCATGTTAAATAAATTAAAGTACGCAAAAGGAAAAAGGAAAATGTGTTACTCATTTTCTAATCTACTACTTATTTCCTGGATCTCAGGGCTGAATCCATCCTTCTGAAGGCAAGGAGACATTAGTGAGATCTAGTGTGTAAGGGATCTCATCCTAGCTCAGTAATTTAGTAGCCACCCCACCTTCATTTAACCACATTTAACTCCTCTAGTCAGTAAATGGGTGGGGGTGAACCACTCACCTGATTTCAAACAGAGATACACATGGTCTGAATTGCTATTGAGGAAGTGTAACATGTTTGAGAATTCTTTATAGGAAGGAGAAGGGAATGGAATTTTATTGAGTAGTTTACTATGAACAAGATCATATGCTAGGTAATATCACAAATACAACCTCATATAAACCACGCAAACTTCTGAAAAGGTAGGGACTTATGGGTGCAGTTTTTATAGGTGGAGAAAGGGGTGGTAGCATTGTTAACAGCGCTCACATTTACTGAGCACTTTACACTGTTTCATGATATTCAGTCTTCCCAACAACTCTCTGAGGGAGGTGCTATTATTGTCTCCATTTTACAAATAAGAAAACTGAGGCACAGAAATATAAAATAACTTGCCTAAGGCCACAGAGCAGGATTATCAACCCAAGCAGTGTTGATTTTCTAGCTCGATTGCCACTCGGGTAGAAAAGTTATGTAACTACAGGGTGACAGAATTTAAGCAGGATGAAATAAAACATTTATAATTGTCAGGTTTTAATGTGAATGTTGGTTCTTAGTGTGCTTATGGCCAAAGAATGACCAGACGCACCAAAGTAAGGCAAGCACGAGGTGAAGTGTATTGAGGGGAAGCAAGACAGGATTATAGAGCAAGAGCAAGACATAGGTTTACAAAGCTTGATACATATGCCACAGCTGACGACTGGGCCCTTTGTCGCAGCAGGAAAAGAGAGCTTTGTTATGGTCTGGGTCTTGCTTTTTTCCAGATAGGGTCCTCCCTGGGGTTCAGATGTCACCATAGAACCACTTTGATTGGACAATTGGGGAGCTGCATGACCTGAGTCTTACTGTACATGTGGATTCTAGGTCACTTTCCAGACTTTTTGGTGCCCACGTGGCTTGGGCGTGGGCTAGAGAGTCCTCTGCATTCTTTTGCAGCTGGTACACCACGTTCTGATTGGCAGATTCATGGAGTGTTCCCTCCTCCCCCAGGTATGGAGAACTAGGCTTGGGCAGGACCAAGATGGGGGCAACAGCACCCACTTTCATCCCTAAAAGACCTGGAATCCCCCACTATCTACCTCACTCACATAATCTCTACCCTTCTGCCCAGGTACCTTCTCTTTGAACTATCATCAAACTTTACAAGAATTATTCCTCTGAGAAGCAGAGGCAGCAGCTATCCTTGAATATGTTTTAAATGAGACAACCCAGAGGGAAGCCATCTAAACAATTTGTGGAAAATCCACAGTGTTCAAAGATAAGTTCTATATGGTTTGGACACTGCCTTTAAAACTTACATAGAACAGCTTTGCTCTTTTTATGGGACAATTTACAGCACATTGCATATGTAAATTAGTGGGTTTAACTCTTGAGGGTTGCCATTACTTTTCATTATTACTTTTCAAGCTTCTTAACTAAGCTTTACAGCAAGTTCAAATGTGTTCTTCCCTCATTCCAACTTCTTTAAAAGTGTCTTATTTTGGAGATGTTAAAATCGCTTTCCCAGGAGCAAATCCCTTTTATTTCATCCACTTTCCCCTCTCCTAAATATTTTCTTTTCCTTTCTTTAGGCATTAATGCTGACATACAGAGCCTCCTGTTCTTACTCACCGACCTTAATTCATGTCGCTTCCATAGCGAAAGTGGGAATGCCTTTCGAAATTTAGTTTCCTTAAATAATTTTTGTGTCTTCCATTGAAAAGTATTTTTTTTTAACTTAAGGTAATATGATTTCTGAAAATATGACATAATTCTGAAGGATAAATATGTGGAATCTAACTAAAATTGATAATCAAATTTATAGTCTACAAAATGAATATACCCCAATTGAAAAAACTCAAGACATGAAGAAATATGTGAATAAAAAAGTAAAAATCAACACCAATTCTACTATGTATTAACATTTTATAATACAAGTATAAGTGTATATTATAGGTACAATGGAGTCAAGATATTATAAAATCATATATTTATAAAATTAAGGTCATACTTTATATGCATGTATTTGTTATGTTTTTAAGGTATATATTATAATGGCAACAAAGTTTAATTATGTGGCAGTTAAGGGTTGCATAATATTCTACTGTAAAATTCTAATTCTCCTTTGCTCTATTGTTGAGCATGATGTGCATTACCCCCTGTGTTTTATTATTATAAGCAGTGCTGCAATAAGCACTTTGTTTATAATCTTTGATCACAATAACACTTTTAGAAGTGAAATTGATTTTTTTCAATCAAAGTGTATTGAGCTATGTTAAGTCTTAGGGATGCACCTCATGTATAGAGTACAGAACTGATGTGGTCTCCCTCTCTACGTGCATTGCCGTCTCACAAGAAATACAGATACACAGCTAATTATGGAAGATTTATTAATTTGTTCATTTATTCATTCATTCAACAGCCATGCACTGAATTGCTTTAAGTGCTTATTTCTAGGTAGTTGGGGACAGAGAAACGAAGAAGTGAAACTAGGTATTTACTCACGTGAAAGTAAATACCAAGAACATCAAGAAAATATTAATAATAAGCAGGATAATTTCAGACACTGATGAATATCATGAAGAAAGTGTATCAAAATGATGACAAAGAGAGAGATCTGGCCATTTAGGTATTCTTTAAGAAGTGGTATTTGAGTTCAGGTTCCAGTGGCAGGAGAAGGTAAGCTTGCAAAATGTTAAGGAAGAAACTGCAGGCGCAGACCACGGCACCAGACAGAAGCGATCCGGGCACAGCAGACGGAACACAGTTGTGGCGGGAGTGTAGCCAGAACGGAAGCGACAGCCGCGGACAGTGGGGAGTGAACAGGACTGGATAATGCAGGGGCCCACAGGCCATGGCAGAGTTGAAATCTTATTCTAGTGTCATGGAAATCCATTCGGAAGTTTTAGGCACTATGGTGGCATTATCATTTTTTAAGGTCACTCTCGGGGCTGGGTGGATACTGAACTGTAGAGGAACAATTCACAAAGTAAAGGGCATTTAGAAACTTATTGCAGCAAAAGGTAGATGGTGACTTGGCTTTACAAAGATTTTACAGAAATGTTAAGTTAGTAGTTTAGGAAGAGAATCAGCAGTCCTGCTTTAGGCCTTTATAGGTGGAAATGCCAGGTAGATGATTGTTTACCAGAAAAGGCAGAGAAACAGGACATTCCTGGACCTCTTCAGGTGGAAATAGACGTGATTGAGCCCAGCTTCCCCTGGGACTGGAGCCGCAAGGTTTCCAGTGATGAGCAGCTGGCTTTTCCCGGGCCCACAAATAGCCGGCACCTGAGGTCAGACCGGCCGACACCTGCATCTCCTTACCCCTGGGCACTCCAGGGCTGCATGGGTGCTGGAGTCTCTAACAAAAGAACAGTATGGAGACCGTTTTCCTCTGTTGTTGTCTCACTGGTGGAGTCTGAGTCCCACTTGTGTCCAGCTGTGCCGGATCGTAACCCGCGTCGCTGCCCAGCACTCAGAGAACAAAGTCCCGGAGCAGAGTGAATGCTGTGACTCAGTGCCCCTGGCACGGCCTTTAACAAGAGCAGTTCAGTGGAACAGGATGCAGAGAGATTCTGAGATAAAGCTAGACGAGAGACAGTGAAGATAATCAATAAAGTTATTGGAGTGGCAAGAAGTATAATGAATGATTCTTATAACTTAGTTTGTTAAAGAATGAACATATTTTTTAGGCTAGTGATCCCAGTTGTCAGCGCCTTCTTAACTATTGGCTCTTTTCACTGACATTCAAAAACCTCCCCTTGATTCTGTGTGCCCCTTCTACCAAGCCTAATGTCCAGCCTCCTCTTTGTAGCCAAACTTCTTGAAAGAGTGATCTGCCAATTATTACCACAGTAAAACTGTTAGACAAATAAGCAAATTCTGTAAAGTTGCAAGATACAATTAACATGCAAAAAAAAAAATCAGTCGTGTTTCTAAACACTAAAAATGAACTGCCTAGCTGGGCATGGTGGCACATGCCTGTAGTCCCAGCTACTCGGGAGGCTGAGGCTGAAGGATTGCTTGAGCCCAGGAGTTTGAGGTTGCTGTGAGCTAGACTGACTCCATGGGACTCTAGCCAGGGCAACAAAGCGAGACTCTGTCTCAAAAAAAAAAAAAAAATTATAACACAAAAACTTGGTCACAATCCTCAACTAATTGAATAAGAAATTCTGGGGCTAAGTATTAGTAATTATTTTTTGTAAATTGTATCAAAGTATAATACAGATACAGAAAAGTGAACAACTGTAAAATGTAGCTCTGTGAATTTACACAAACAGCACCTAAAACAAGAAACAAAATATAACAAGGAACCCAGAAGTTTCTGCAGGCCCCCTTCTAATAACTGTCCCCACAATGATACTCTGTTACAGGAGTAACCTCTATCCTGACATTTAATGTCATAGTTTAGTTTCCCATTTTTGAATTGTATATAAATGGAAATATAAAGCATGTAATTTTTTTGTATCTGGGCCCTTTTGCTCAATAAGGATATTTCTTTACATGTTTGCATGTATGTAGTTTGTTTATTCTAATTTTTGTATAGTATTCTAATCCATGAACATGCCATGTTTATTCATCCATTGTACCATGCCACATTTATACATCTATTTTTTTTTTTTTTGCTAGATTAATATCATGTGCTTTGGTTGTTTTCTGAGAATATAGGCATCAGAGTCTATACTTAATCTTAAATCAATAGATTTTTAGATTGTCTCAATGTCATGGTCTGGTTTATTTTTTAAAGCATGTACAAACCATTAAAAATATATGTAGGTGTTTTTTTCTTTTTGTCGTATGAATATTTTAAATATCAAATGCATACAACAGGAAAGCATAATTGATAAACAAAACCAAACATGCAAAAGACTTTTGCTTTGGTGTCTAAGCAAATGAGCAAAGGCACAGACAAGTCTGATGTAAGTTTTTGTGCCATCATTGTGCCACTTATAAGCGGACATTTGGGTTATGTACTGTTCATGTCTATTATGAATAGTTTGGCCAGGAATGTTCTTTATATATCTTTCATTGAACATATGTACAAATTTCTGTTGAATACATACCTAGGAATGGAACTTCTGCATCATAGAGAATGCTTGTGGTCAGCCTTAGGTAGTAGATACTATGAAACAGTTTTTCCCAAGTGGTTGTATCAATTTCTACTCCCTAAAGCAGACCGTGAGGGTTTCAGTTGCTACATGTCTGCCAATAGTTGATACTGGTTTTGTTTTTTTTTTAACATTATCTGTTCTGATGAGTCTGGTTGGTTTGGTTTGGGATTCTAATGAACATCCGGGGTTGAGAATGCAGATGGGTATCCCCATAATTGAGTTCCTCCTGACAGTAAATTAGATTGACTTGCAAAGAAGAAATCAAAGGGAAATGGGATATAATTAACCATGCCATATCCTTGGTGCCTTTCCTTTACCTCCCCCCAAAAAGCAGAAGTATATCAGAAACCTAATGGACCAGAAAATTTTCAAATCGTAGGTTATTCCTGTTTCTACTCACCAAGAAGATGCTTTTACATTGCCCTGAATTTTACTCCTGAAAAACTAGAATGCTCTGAAATGTAGGAGATACAAGGAGATTTGATTTCAATCTGCAGATAGCTAAGTTAAAAAAAAAAAAAAAAGTTTAAATTGGTAGTTTACACAGCACTTAAAAAAGCACATCAGACATGTCAAGAGGAAACTCCTAGAATCATGGCACAAAAACTTACATCAGACTTGTCTGTGCCTTTGCTCATTTGCTTAGACACCAAAAGTCTTTTGGCATGTTGGCTTGTTTTATCAATTATGCTTTCCTGTTGTATGCATTTGATATTTAAATATTCATACAACAAAGAAAAAACACTACATCATATTTTTAATGT